AGAAAGAAAAAGTGAGAAAAGTCACTCCATCCTCCTCCCACTTCTCTCCAGGAAGTATGACCATGTTGCAATCCCTTCTCTTCCATTCTCTTTTTGGGATTTTGGGCACATGCGTGCATACACACACACACACACACACACACACACACACACACACACGACATGCTTTTCAAGGTCCTGGGCCCAGGACTGGAATCACATAGTAGGCCTTTGTGGGATCCAGCCGCCTTAACCACTGCCCCACCTACTGGCCTGGAAACCCAATTTCTAAGCAGGGAAAACAAGAGTTCTAAGCCCCAGGCAAAAATATTTTGAGAAAGTAATATGCTGATGGGCCCCTTATCAGGAACTGAGCTCTCCCCGCCTCCTTTTTCAGCTCTTTTGAAGCTGAAGGACAACAGTTAGATTTTGGGAGAGGAGAGCAAAGTGGTGGAGAAAACTTGGACAAGTTTGTGCTAAAATCCATTATGAAACTAGAAAATCAGCGGATCTAAGTTAACTTAAATGATTTGACCTTTCTAAGCCTGTTTTCTTATCTGCAAGAAAGAAGCAATAACAGTGCCTAGTGTTATCAGGGATAAGTCAATAAATGTGAAATTTTTGTAAACTCTAAGGCACCGTAGAGACATGAGGTGTAGTAGTTGTTTTTATTGTTATTTTATTTTCATAAAATACCAGATGCCAATGATCCACTTTCTTGACTCCAGATTTCTCCCATATCAATATGTTTTTTTCTTTTTCTTTGACACACTCTCAGGTTTGCCTCTTTCTTCAACCATCCCATTGTAAGTTTAGTCTCTTTTTAGCCTAGAAATTGCCTAGCTTGCAAAGAAAGCAGAGTGCAGTCTGGAAGCACCAATCCTCTGAGAGAGAAGACTTGGGTTTGGAGCTTGGTTTTACCACCTGCTGGGTGTGTGACTTGGCTACATGATTTCATATCTGGAGCCTCAGTTTTCACATATGAGATGTGGGTAAATATATACTGGATGCTTCAGAGAATTAAGTGAGGAAGACATCTGTGAAATACCTTGCACAGTGTCCAGCCTATGGTGTGAACCTAGTAAAGGTTAAACCCCATTTTTCTTCTTATTTATTAGATACAGTATTCTGAAAAGACTAGAACAGGAAATGGGAGACAATGAGGCCATTTAAGAATAATGAAGAGATAGCAAATTCATCGAAGGAAGAAAATGAAAGGAAGGATAAGCTGAGCTGATTAGAAGGAAGAAAAGGGGATGAGAAAATAGGTAGACGACAAGGCAAAGGAGGAATCACCTCTACTAATTGAGTGTTGGTTCTTCTTTCTCAAACCATAACATAATCCTTGGAATACTATTTGGGTACAATCTAGCCAGTCTATAGTTCCAAAAAATAATCTTTTTGATCAAAAAGAACATTCATATTCTTCTCTTCCAAGACAAGTTTTTACAGACTCACACCATTAGGAACACTGATTTGTCTTTGCACACTGTCAGTTTTTATTTATTCTCATAGCTTAAAATACTTTCCCCAAATCTTAGTTGACGAAGAGAATCACAGTTCTATAGTTGAGTTTCAAGGCTTCTGTTATAATTAGCTGATTTGGATTGTGAAGCTTTTGAGCAGGGATCCCTAGGTATTTTCTTCTTGGAGAAATATAGGCCGTCTTTTTGTCTTCTCAAAGTCACTCTGTGTCCATTTCTTTAAAAAGAGCATCCTCCCAACCATGTGATCCAATTTTGCTTTAATAGCTTACCTTTTTTTTTTTCTTTTTTAGTATAGGCATGAATTATAAATCTTGCTTTCCTTTTTTGGAAGGGCTGTATTAACTAACATTTGATTTCTTAGTTCACACAGTCAACGGCCTGTTAAACAATTTTAGCTCAACTCATAGGCTTAATTATTTGATTGGGAGTAAAATTTTCATTTGAATCATTGTTAAACTTTGATTTTTGCTTTTATTCAGTCATTTCTTTAGAGTCCAAGATTTATTTCCTTGATCGCAGAAGTTATTTATTACTGAGAATCTGAAAACTACTAGACATTAAGTATGTGAATCAGAGAGCAATGCTAAAAATGTAGTCATTTAAGTGGTTAGATCAAAATAGTTTGCTGGGTTAAAGAAAAATTACATCGTTTTAAATATTTCCTGTATGGAAGAGAAAAAGTCATCATGCGCTTCTTTCCACTTTCTCATTGATCTTTAAACTTTACCTTTGTAGAGAGGGGCTTCATCATATACTCCATGCTGATGACTCTCACTCTTAAAAATTTAACAATGTTTGCCAAGTTAAATATTAAACGACAAATGAAATGCAAAGGGCATATTTATATGGCCCTCAAATCCCCCTAAGTCATTCCCAGTCCTACAGAGCAGAGATTCTTTGGGTGCAGTGGTTTTCTGGGTAAGTAAAGACATGGGCAAGTTTCACATCTGTTCATTTTCCAAAGCCATTTTCAAGCAAAAACGATTTCATTGGTGAACAACACAGATTCTCAGCGTATAACTCTACTCACCTAGATCAGGCTGTATGCCTTAATGGGGGAGGCGGATAAATCTAGAGTGTCACAGTGACAGTGTGTGCCCCTCACCATGGGGAGATAGGATGCAGAGAGAACCAGTTTACCTAGTAGGATCACGATGCACAGAAGGATGGCAACTAGAGCCCCCGTGCTCAGTCCCGTTGGGTGGATGAGCGCCTCCGCATGGCAGGACTGCATGTTCCCGTGGTGGTCACATGCACAGACCCGGACAGTCACTGTCCCAGTGCTGCTTTGAACTGGGTAGTCGTTGTCTGAAATGACCACAGGTAGGAGATAGGTGCTCATCTCGTGTCTATTATAGCCATTTTTCCGAGTTAAGATTCCAGCTGTGTTGTCTGGAACCAGAAAGCAAAGCGGTGAATGTATATCACATCATGTATTAGAGCAATTGTGACAAAAATAGGCAGACTGACACATACTTATAGAGATGGGTGATAGAAATATAGATAGAGAAGGTGACTTGAGCTCTTTACCTTTATTGTCTTGAATGGTAAAGTTTGAGCCACTGGCTGCTTCAGGGGCCAAAGAGAATGAGAATTGATGCCCACTGTAAGGGTCGTCCTTGTCAACAGCACGTAGGGTCTGAATCAACTAAGAGAGAAATCATAAAGTTACTCTAAGTTTTAACAGTTCAAGAGTGTTTCTTACAGTTTTGCAGTGAATTGCTGGACTAAGTGATGTTTAATTTTAGTTTAAAAAATGATAGCCATGAAAAAGCTTAAGCATAAGTCCACTGTATTCAAGGCCAGGGTGAGAAAGTTGTAGACCAAGGGATAATCCTTTGTTGGAGGTGGGGCACCCCATGCCTTGTAGGATGGTTAACTGCAACCCTGGCCCCTGCAAACTAGATATCAGTAGATTGTCCTGATCATGGCAATCAAAAATGTCTCCAGACCTTGCCAAACATCCCCAGGGAACAAAATCACTGTTTTTGAGAAACACTGCCTCACTGAGAGTCAAAGGTATAAAACATCACAATGATCTACAGCAACATGGCACCTTAACAAAATGGAAGCCCTCTTCAGATGGCCCATTTAGAAATGCAATCTTAACGGTTCATAGGCTATCAACTTGCAAAAAATGAGAAAGAAAAGGAGGACATGTTTTAGCACCACACTTCTTTTTTGACAAAATTCAACATAATTTTTATATCACTGGCAGCAAAGACCTATTACAGGTGGAGACAAATGTGTAAAACAGTAAAACCTTCATGAATTTATATTACTTGTACAGATGGATGATGTAAATAAGTGAAACTATGAATTATAGGGCATTATAAAATATATTATAGTTATCACTTTCAAGTACATATGGCAATTAAACTATCTGTTCACCAGTAAAGAGTTTTCCAATAAAGCTGTGACTAATCTATTTTAATGAAAACTTAGGACTGATTTGGAATCAGCATCAGTCTTTGATGAACTTCCAGTTCTTAAAAACTGTTTGTTCTCTTATGCAAGTTAAACATTCGTCCTGGTTCTTATTTATAGTATTAATTTCCTAGCATTCACTTCATAGATAATTCAAAAGTAGCCCTCAGCTCTGTGTATCATCTGAATTATTATAAGCTCTAAATTAATCTGACTTCTCTTTTGAATGTACTTTCTTATGGAACTCACCTGATCTGCCTTTGCTTTTTCACAGACAAAGGTTTCATAGAACTCAGCAAATTCTGGGGCATTGTCATTGACATCTAGAACTTTAATATACAGAGGTACTCGGCTACTTTGCTTTGGATTATCTGTCACACAGCAAAAGAAAAAAAGAAAAAGAAACAGGCATTTATGTGCTGATTGTCAATCCCATTTAGACAACATTCACTCATCCCTTCATTCTCATCCATGCAGATTCCCAAGGCTACTGTAAGTTCTGTGTGTTTTAAACTCCAGTGTTGTTCCCACAAGGTGGACCTTGAATGTTCAGTACTTCTGGGGTTGGACGCAAGTGATGGAAATACCTAGGAAATAAAGCTGCTTGTATTGGTACAACACACTGCATAATAAACCCTAAGGGAACACAATTTAAAAAGGCCTTTTAGGGGGATTAGCGGATGGTGTAATGGCTATGTTGCTGGACTCCCAATAGTTGACTGCAGTTTGAGTCCTGGACCCAGTGGCTTAAACTCATGCCAGGTGCATGTGTGTGCATGCCCAAGATTCCGAGAGGAGAATGGAGGAGAAGAGATTGCAGTGTGGCCCTCCCCATGGGGGGTGATTTCTTGCTTTCTGTCTCTCTGTCTTTCTCTGTCTTTCTGGTGAGCACGTGTATCCTATAGCAAAAACCTCTCCAAAAACAAAACAAAACAAAACAAAAAAACCCAAAAACAAAAACAAAAAGTCCTTTTAGAGGTAGAGTTTTAAGGAAGCCAAGCAAAGAGGCAGATGGAAAAATTATGGACAAAAGGAAGAGCAGGGAAATGAATGAATCACCAGAAAACCAAAAGATTGTTACTGATGTTAGTCTTTTTTAGTTTGAGTACCAAACGAGAGTTAGACACAGGCTAAGCACTTGGTTTTATTATCTTGTTTATCCTTACAAGTTCTGAGGCTGATATAGTTATTGCTCACATTTTATAGATAAGAAAACTAAGGCACAGAGAAGTTAGGTAATTTATCCATGGCCACTGAGATAGAAGTGAAGCCCAGATTTGAACTGGGGTCTTTCTAACTTTAAAGCCCAGGCTGTTTATCTTGAACAATCATAGAGTGGCATCAGTATTTGTAGACCTGAGATAAACAAAGCATTTCAGTTGTCTTCTGCAATACTATTCTAGGTAGTGTGGAAGACAGATTAGTACTCTGAGAGTCAGGAGTTGGAACTGCTCACTTCAACTCTCTTTATTCATTTAACTCGCATGTCTTCATTTATTCACTTTATAAATATTTCATGACCATTGATATGTACTATGTGCTGGTTATTATTTGGGGTCCTGGGACACTTAGTGAACATAAAACAAAGACCCTGCTTCTTGAAGTTTTATTCTAAGGGGAGTAGACAAACTGTAAATACCTAAAAATATAGTACATCAAATGGTTAATGCGGGGTGGGGGTGGAGGAGATTCCAAGAGATAGAGGTGCTACTGTGAATGGGATGACCCTGGGTGGCTTCTCTGGTGAGAATTCATTTGTCCAGAGAGATACATGAAGAGAAATTAAGCCGTGTGAAAGGTTTTTTGTTTTGTTTTGTTTTTTTGAGAGGTTTTTGTTATAGGGCACATGCGCTTGCCAGAAAAACAGAGAGAAACAGAGAGACAGAAAGTGAGAAATCATCCCTTGGGAGGATGGCCACACTGCAATCCCTTCTCTATTCTCCTCTCAGGATCTTGGGCATGCATGCACACACACCTGGTGTGAGTTTAAGACACCAGGTTCAGGACTCGAACCGCAGTCAACTACATGGATGTCCAGCGACATAGCCATTACGCCAACTGCTATTCCCAGCTGTGTGAAATTCTTGACCCTAAAGTTAAAGGAAACAGCAAATGTAAAGACCCTGGGGTGAGAATAGGCTGGTTTTGTACACGTTCTTGGGTTCTGTTATATGAAAGTTTGTTAATTTTAATTTCAATTTTTTTTCTGAGAGATTTTTGCTATAGGGTGCACGCGCTTGCTGAAGAAACAGAAAGCCAGAAAGCAAGAAATCATGGGACCAGCAGTTAACGTAATGGCTATGTCACTGGATTCCCATGTAGTCGCCAGCGGGTTCAGCCCCAGACCCAGCAACTTAAACTCACGCCGGGCGTGTGTGCATGTGTGCCCAAGATCCCGAGAGGAGAATGGAGAAGGGATTGGAGCGTGGCCATCCCCCCTGGGGGGTGATT